TATTCGCGCGTACATCCTGCATCGGCCAGGACATTTCAGCGCTGTGACCTATGCAGACAATTAATGGGCTGTATGGGACAATGGAGGTAGGTTGCACACGGTAAGTAGCATTAACTCTTTCTATAACCAAGTAGCAAATACTCGCTCAATTTGGATTATCCTTCAGGAACAATACGCTACTTCACACCCGCAAGCGCTTCAGTCTCTGGAGAGCAATCCGGATGTGCAATTACCTCCTTCACCTGCACATGACCAGGCAGTGTCCCCTCCCTGTGTAGATCGGGCAGATTCTGCTCTAAAGAACCTCCTTAGAAGATGATGGCTGTGCCCTTCCATTCTGTAGCCACACAGCCACAGTCCGGTTAGCATCCACAGTGCATAGTCTCTGCTCCGAACACTATGAAGGGATGGTCACTGCCAGCCTTTGTCGCGAAAACTGCGACTCTTCGTCTTGTGTTCATCCCCCCCAACCCCTAATCGCCTGCCCAATATGTCGTCGTGGCCTTAATCTGCCATGCTTAAATAGCTGCGAACGTCAGCCTGCCTTCCTGCTGACATGTCAGCAACATGCCATGTGTCATCAATGTTTCCAGAAAGCTGTCATAGAAAGCATGTGCCTCTTTTGCGTGGACTATCCACTATGCCATCATCCACCACATCCTCTCTTAGCATGTCCCACATGCAGAGTTGGGCATACAATTACTACAAACGCCATCGGATCTCCTTCTTTCCTGCCAGACGAACAGCAAACTCAACAGCCTGAGCAGGAAAATAGAGTATCACATGAGCCGCTTATAGAGCACTGTGCTGAAGGGCTAACACCACCAGGACGAACTGTTGCAGAACAAATCCTGCAGCAGCTAGACACCCTTGTTTTGGATGACCCCCTCTTGCCACAGTCGTCGTTGTCGTCGTCGGTCCATAGAGAAGGAATCAATGCCGAGGAAACTCAAAATACTTGCTCAATGCCGTTCTGTGATGATCCACCGGAGACTCGGCTAGCATGTGGGCAACATGCATTGTGTCATGAGTATTATGAAGGCACAGCCCGTGCGTCTTTCTGTTTTCATATGTATGATGACAGTCAATATTGCACTTACGTCCGGCACCCTGACATGTCATGTCCAATTTGTAGACAGGGGCTCGAACAACAATGCCTCTACAATTGCGGTCGGTGTGCCTCTGTGTTCCTTGCCTGTGGGAGCCATGTTGCCTGTGATATCTGTTTACGTCGTGCCATTCGTTGCAGCAACTGCAACTGCGAGAATTGGATGTGATGCTTCCACAGTCCGCACCCAAATCGGTGCTGTCCGGTCTGCAGGAGTGGTCACCTACCATAGGCAACAGCTACTCCTCATCCTGCAACCCGAACACTGATTGATTTCTCGTGTCATTCTATAGTCGTCTGCT